GGGTCCCGGGGGTTCGAGGTACAAGCTTTGCTTCCTGGGCTTTTAGCGGTTCTTGGGCAGGATGATTTCCCGTATTTGATGTGACTGTCACCGTATTATGAAGCAGCAGACCTCCCGCTCCCCCGAGGAGGGGCGAGGAGGGGCCGTGTCACCTGAAGGGAATGTTCTGGCCTAGGTAAGTGGCCGCTAAGCTATTTACTGCCTTGATCACACACAGCTTAACAAGCACGCGGCTACCGAGGCCTTGCCTCCCCTTCCCTTGGAAAACCACCAGCTCCTTGCTGCCTAAGGCTCTGCTTCTGTCGGTAAGTCTCCTTAACAAATTCTTGATGTAATTCTGGAGTTGTCAGCCTCCTTTTGGGGTGTCTGGCTGGCCCTGGAAATTTTCACAATTGGGGAGCCAGTCAGGAGGCTGGAGAAACGGGAAAGGGAAAAAAAGCCTCTGAGAGGGAGATTCCGTGTGGGGACTGGCGGCCCGTGTGCTGGATGCCTGTGTCCCACTCTGTGAATGTGGGGCCCTGGAAAATGCTGCCCTGCTGTCCCACTGTGTGAGTGTGGGGCTCCGGAAAGCACCCCCGGGCTGTCCCACTGTGTGCGTGTGGGGCCCCGGAAATGCTGCTGAGCTGTCCCACTGTGTGAGTGTGGGGCCCCGGAAATGCTGCCGGGCTGTCCCACTGTGTGAGTGTGGGGCCCCGGAAAGCACCCCCGGGCTGTCCCACTGTGTGCGTGTCGGGCCCCGGAAAGCGCCGCCGGGCTGGAGCCTGTTTGCTGGGTGGCCCTGGCCCACTGTGCAAGGAAGGGCCGGGAATGGACACTCCAGGAGGCCGGCGCTTTAAGGGCAGCTGGGCTGGTAACCAACGCCTTTTCAAGGTGGCAGTTAGGAAACCAGAAGGGGAAAAGGATGTATGTTTTTTCACCTCCCTCTTGACTACTAACTCAGCTGAGAAAGTTGAGGAACAAGATACCGAAATAGAAACCGAAGCCTGCCCCTGCCGCTTTGTAAAACTGGGAGGAAGAAAGTTAACAGCCGCCACAGGCACAGGCAGTAGCCACAGAGCTGGGATGGGATGCGAAGAACCTGGGACCTGGGGGAGACTAGAGGGGACTTCCTCCTGCTCCCTCCAGGCTGTGTCCTTAGCGCCTCCAGGTGCCGCGCTGGCGTTTGGGGGCGTGTCACTTCCCTGCCTGACCTCTGAAAGGCGCTCATTATGTTGATGGCATCATGTGAACAGGTGACGATTTCCTTTCCCAGGAAACTCGGTTCCTTATGCCGTCACCTCCGAGATGGAGGATGGGCAATGTGTCCACACAGGTACAAGGCCCAGGATTCTGTCCAATTCCCTGCTGTGGTTTGGTGGGTGAGACGTGCCTGGTGTTGGGGTCGTGGTGGATAAAATACCAGCAGCTCCTATTCCCAAACATGAAAAGAGTGGACTCTATTGGGAAAACCCTCATGGGGCCAGCAACTCCGGGAAGAGATCTGGGGCGGACCGCAGGCCCCCGAGCGGATCTCGCTGGGTTTCGGGTCCCTGCCCCTTCTGAAGTGTCGCCCCCAGTAATATGGAAGCGGGTGCTTTGGCCCAGATTAAAACCTTGGTGCCGACACAAGCTGCAGATTTAGCCCCCCTGGGCCCATCAGAAGAGTGGGTCGAGGGGCAGAAGCAGGATGGAATATTGCAAGGGGGGGCAGGGTTGCCTAGAAAGTACGGCGATGTTTTAGCAACAATAAAGATGGCCAGCGTTGCTCCTGTTTACAGCTAAGAAAGCTGCCTCATCCACCTGGGCACGTGCATAAAGCCAACAACCCAGTGAAAGACTGGCAAACAGATGAATTATATTGGCCCCTTGCTGACTAGGAAGGCTCAGAATGTGCTCGCACCGGTGTAGCCACAGCTGCTGCCTGTTACAGGCTTCTCCTCGGAGACGGGCAAATCGAAAGGCAACTGCAAAAGGGTGATTAACATTGAGACCAGGAGGGACCCCATGCCACGTAGATACAGGACCTCATTTCAGGCACGTGACGTCCAACAGTGGGTACCAGATAGTGACACTGGATGGAGGTTCTGTTTGCCAGGTAACCCTCAAGCCGCAGGAGGAACAGAAAGGGAAAATGACTTCCTGGAAACAGCAGACACGACTGTGAGGAAAAGGCTCCTGGCTGGGTAGATGAAGGGACTGGAGGCAGCTCTCACTCAGCTGAATGCTAACTGCATAGGCCTGTGGTGCGATGACAATGGGGCACACCTGGGGAAGCCCTGGCTACACAGGTAGGGAGGGAGGCGCCTCTTGTAATTGTGCAATCACGCCCGAGGTTCTGGCAGGACAATGAGCCCCAGGATATCGGACTCCAGTGTCACTGATGACCGGACACGGCGTAATTGCTTTAATATGGAAGGTGCCAGCTGGCTGGCTGGGGTATTTTTTGTCATGAACGAGGCATCCTCAGTCCTCCTTAGTCTCCTGTTCTCCTGGGAGCTGGCCCTCTAAAGAGATGCTGTGCATTCCAGGTGGCCAGAGCGATACCTAGAGGTACCAGTATCAACCCTAACCTGGCACGTACCCCCACAGGGACCCTTCAGTTGGCTCGGGTGCCCCCTTGAGTCAACATGTCTGTATGCCCCTCCCTTTCAGAAGCCTGCAGCAGCAGCTGTGCCCACAGAGATGAGGCCACCAGCATTATGTTAAAAGATGACCTCCCTACAAGTTCCAACTAAACACCTTTTTGTTTGCCCCTAGCTGCTGCTGCTCTTTTTTTATTCTTTATTGTTTAAAGCAGTGGTTCTCAACCTTCCTAATGCTGTGACCCTTTAATACAGTTCCTCATGTTGTGGTGACCCCCAATTTCATTGTTACAAATTGAACATAATTAAAGCATAGTGATTAATCACAAAAACAAGATGTAATTATATATGTGTTTTC